ATGGTTTTTTAGAAGTCAGACCACTGGAAAAACTAGTTAGTCGCAGACGAAGTTGCGAGCAAAAGCTAGTTTTGTATATTATAAAGGTGTACCTACCGACAAAAAAAGTGCCCGTGGTCCGCTTAGGTTAAGTAAGGTGGACTTCCGGCAAGAGTGAAGCAAACATAGTGACTGTTACTGTGAGTACAACCTTACTGCTACGTACCGTCAATAAATCAAATCCTGTAAAACTTCTGTAACCGACTTTTTACCTTAATATGTTGAGGTAAAGTTCAAATTTGTTTTGAGACATTGACCTTTTTTTGTTACATGTTTTTTAATGTGTGTAGGCACAAAGATACCAATCATCATCAAGTCGACATGCGCGTAATGCAACTACGGATATTAAAATAAAAATGCAATTTTCATGTAAAATTTATTGTTTTTTTTATTATTTTGAAATCACATGTTGTAACATTCATCTTGTTAATTAAAAATATTCACATTGTCATTTAAATAATCTATTACGATATTTCTAACTTACACTTATGAGAAATAATGCCATTGAGTACTACTAGAGATGGAAAATTTATGTTTTGTCCATCTATAACACGATTGGTCAAGTCGCTCTACAACAGAATAGAAACATTACCCTCTCGGCTTTACATACAAATATACATTATAGTACAGTTACGAGATTTGCATATTCATTCAAAATTCACTAATAAAATGGCATTAAAATATGGTATACTTATTAGATCAATTCTTAACATTAAATGTATAGAAATAATAAAAATACATCATGCTCTTTGGCTTGCACGACGGAAAGTAACTACGTATAACCCGCACCAACATAGGGATCTCATTATTTGCTCTATCAGATCTGTGAGTATGTATTGTTAGTTTGATGTCACGCTGAAATCGTCTTTATTGGCGCGGGCTAAAGTATATTAAAAAAATATTACTTATCAAAGAGATCAATTCAGCAGAACCGTAACAAAATATTCGTCCGAATCCGATATACATACAAGTGTATTTGTGATATGCAAATTTGTATCCACCAGGAAATTAAATAAAAATAAAGCAAAGTTACACATTAGTTTTTGAGCCATTTTCAAACATACTAACTCAGACTTGATATTACGAAATAATAAAAAATGCATTTTATAAATTTTATCATAGCAAATTGAAACATTTTTCAGTCTAATTATATTTGATCATTTGGCAATATTGTTATAATTTCACAATATACAATACTTAAGGTAGATTAAATAAAGTCGAATGAATTCAAAAGTATAACAGCGGCCATAGGAAGACTCAATGTAATTTTGAAATCATTTTTTTGAGCCCATATACAATTACTAATAAAATATTAAGTGTATTGAAGTTTAAGATTAAGATTTACTGCGGTCAAACTCAAAATCATTAAATAGTAAAGGAACAGGAATACAAACTGGTATAATGGCACCTCGACATTCCACTTATGTTAACATTAAATACAATTATATAAAATTATTTCATAAAGGCTAATGGATAATCTCAACGAATATCGTTCGATTCGCCCTTAGCTTTATGGAGATTCAAGAAAACAATGAAGTATTATTGTACAGTAATCTAATATCGGTATGAACGTTTGATATCTTTACACATCGTAGCCTTTGTATTACCTCTTCATTTATATACAAAAATATACATAAATGTCAGGTCGTATCAGCAACAATCCATTTTAATGAATAGAAAATTCTCACTGTTTCGCGTGAACTTTATAACGTCTTTTAAAAGTTATTTTCATATACAAAAATAATTAAATATATTGAACATCACGTTGCCTCGCCCACTGGCCTCACGCGAATTTGAGCTCAGTGTCTTTCGATATAGCGACGATTAAGATTTATCTCGTTGAGCAAATAATCATCTCTTATGCAATAGAAACGAAAACAGGCAAGGGATATTATTTACGCAATTTCTATTTCAAAGTAGGTATATAATACATGATTAGCTCTACAAGTTTGCGCTATCAGTTATATATTTATACAAGATATGAAATTTATGGGTCATCATCATAAATGGTACAATTTAAATGTTATAATTTGGAATGTTACATTCATGCCCGAGACGTTATGAGTTTCGTTTTAAAACTTGTGTATTCAGGAAAAACAAAGATGGAGCACTTCTATATTTTCCTGGAAATATATATTATAATTATAGCTACATGTTTTAGATCGATATTATGAGAAATTACCATTTAGCCCATTAATTCCAAATACGTTAAGAAAAAATGTTTGCTATTAAATATTATAAGTAAAGAAAATTATTGTGAAAAGGGAGTAAACTATAGGTTTACCAATATAAAAATGCTTCACCGATTTGTCAAAGACTATTTCATTTATAAATTGTTTGTGTTTATTTAGTTTTTTGTATGGGGCAAACGCATGCTAGCCAATTCAAAAACAGTTATCATATACAAGGAAAACACAGACCATCTGCAGGTAATTTAGTCTTTCATTTGATTCGTTACGGAAAAGCAGGCATTTGTTGTATCGTACAGATTCAGGATACATAAAAAATCGCAGTGTTTTTCCAACTGCCCCCGGGCAACCGTATTTGTTTTTAATTTTAAAATGCAATTTTCAGTTCTGTATCAATATAAAAGTGAAAGTTCATTGCGTTAAGGAATGATATATACCATTTTTTCGGATGAATCACAATATACCATTCACCGATTCATCACATACGAATGAATAGATCACTGGAACGTGGTCACGTTCGGTTCAGTCGTTTAAATGTCCGCCTGCATCCGATGTGGATGCGTCACGGTGAGCGAGTCTGGGGAATGGAGCGTGATGGTGGTCTGGGACGCGACCGTTTGCGTTCTGTCGGGGCGGCGTGAGAGCGCGGACGCGGGGGAGGGCGCGGGCGCGGGTGCATAAGCGGGCGCGGCAGCGGGCGCGGACGCGGTGGAGGCTGTGTTGTCAGGTCGCAGCACGTACCCGAGCAGGAGTGGCACGCCGGGCGCGAGCGCTACCAGTTCCAACTCACCTGCGCAGTACTCGTACTGTCAGACCTTTTGCGCGGGCCGCATCTCGTACGATTGCGGGTAAGCGTTCGCGTACGGCTCGCGGCGACCGCTCGGACCGGGTGGCGCTGACGCTGCAATAAATAAATTAATATTATTTTGTTGCTTATAATTAAGCTGATCGGATAGTTTTATAATTTGATTTGTTTTACTTCTCTTGCTCAGTATGCTAACTGAAGCGAAGTTAAAAAGCCATGATAATCAGAGAGATAAAGGTAGACGAAAAATTATTATTCAAAAACATTAAATTTAATTAGTAAATTGTGAATTTCAAATAATTTCTAATTTTTAATTAATGATTGCATAAAGTGCAGGTCAAATGACAGTAAAAGACACTAGATAAATAATGACATGCATGTAGGTTCATTTTGAAAAATCGATTCAAATCGATCTTATCAGGATTGAATCTCGATTAAATATGCAATAGACTCTAGGGCCGAAGAGGGCCAAGAGTTTGATGTTTCTGCGCCACGATTTACCATTAATAATTTTATAAATATTAGAATATTATTTATGTTTTGTTTTATTTCTGATATCTATTATATTTTTAAAGTGTGTCTCTGTCTCTATATTTTCTGTTATGGTGTCTACTTTTGTCAATTTGCTCATTAATAATTTAATATGTCAATTTGAGGTTCAAATTGTTGACTTTAGTTTATAAAATAAATATTTATGATTTCATAGGATTTATTCGATTTTGAATAAACGTAAATCTTACAAAAGAAAGTTTCGTCTTTTAGTTCCATACCGTGTTGTGTTGTCAGCCAAGAAAATGTAAGTACTCGAATCGATAATATTCGGTACCAAAACCCAATAATTCGACAGTATACAAATAGTGAAAAAGGTGCCGTATACGTCGAATAACAAACGAATATTCGGCGCATCTCTAATAATAACATAAAATTATCACTATAATTTTTTTTCAAAGTGAATATTAGTTGGAATTAACCTTTGTGCCGGTACATTTTAAAATATGAATTTAAGATAATTTCAGTAATATTATCATGTTCCGGATCGGTCCGAGTATGTAGTAGTGCTTACTATTAAGGGAGAAACATACGAATTATTTATTAACACTTTGGAAATACGACATAACTGGAACGCCGAGTAACGTACTCGCAGACAAGAGTTAACATTTCAGCAAGCAAGGGGTAGTGTACTAGCCAAGGTTAATATTAAAGTTGATCATCATGTTCCGGAATAGTAATATTATCATGTTCCGGATCGGTCCGAGTATGTAGTAGTGCGTACTATTATGGGAGAAGCATACTTTTTATTAACATAAATTTTTTAATTGGAAATACGAAACAATTGGAACGCCGAGGTAACGTACACGCAGACACAGCAAGCAAGGGGTAGTGTACAACAGTGCGTACCGTTATCCCTGGCGGCGTACGCTAGCGGCGCGGCGTACCCCTTGTGCGGGCGCGCGCGGCGGTGGCCGGGGCGGGGGGGCGCGCGGGGGGAGCGGGCCGCCGCGCCCGGGTGGCGCATGCGCCGCAACGTGTTCATGGGCCGCCGCAACGTCTCCGACAGACGTCTGCAAACACACGTCACACTATACACTGACCCTTAATTAAATGCAGTAGAATAACATTTCCTTATGTCATTCTGTGAAATAATGTTGCCACATTTTTTTCTACTAGTGAGTGGTAAATCAAGGGGAAACTTTCCTGCATAATAGATATTCTATTACTAAAAATAATCATCACAACACACAGAATTAAAATAAGAATTCACTTTCGAAACGTTTAAAATAATAAAAAGGAAGTAAAATGCATTTTCATTATAGTTCTGGTGTATAAATAAAAGTCGCTTCACGCTGCCGGTACGCTGTGATCTTTTAAACTATACAACGGATTTTAATACGGTTTTCATCAATATACAGAGTGATTCAAGATGAAAGTTTATAATACAGGACCACGTGGGTGATGCCGCTGACCTTTAAAAGCTAGTTTAGATTGTTTTAAACATCTTACAAATTATACCTTTTTGACGCCTAAAAACTATAAATAAAATAAAAAATCTTAGATGACTGATAAAGCTGTCCACCGTGTTAGTCAACATAGATTGTCGAGAAACCTTGACTTTATTTTAATTAATATTTATGCCAATAAGAAAACATGGGGAAAAGATTAGAAATTTTGCCGAGTTATGACATAAACACGTGACATCATATATATAGCTTTCCCGGTGTTATAAATAATAAACAAAAATTCACATTTTTAGATAGGATGGGCACTTGCCCCGGGCGTGAAAAGATGAGCTTCACTAAAATGTCTTTTGAAATTTGTCAGCTTGCCGAATCAGTTAGGGCCTAATTTGACCTTCGCCGGAGAGTAACGTGTGATGTAATTAATGGGTGGCCCTTTACTACATTTAAGCAGTAGACCAGTGATTCCTTAAGTGGTCCAGGTGGATCCCCAGGGGTCGACGAGGAATTCAACGGGGTGAAATAAAAATAGGGCGCCAATTTCCATCGTTAGATCTTCACATTTTGTACGAATTTTTTGAAATATGGTAAAAATGTAGCAGCAGGAGGCCCACCGAAACCAGTACATTTTTTAAAATGGTCTACGAGAAATAAATTGTTTGGAAACGTCTGCAGTAGACTGTCGACACGTATGTGGGCTCCGGTTACCTGGCGGGCGGCCGCTTCGGGTTGGACGAGGGCGTGTGCACGGCGCAACACTTGACGAACGCGCCGCAGCAGACGACCAGCAGCACGCCGCCCACCAGCACCAGCCACCACTGCTCCGTCACCCACGCCTGCACCGACTGCAGCGTCGCGCGGTTCAGCAGCAGATTCTTCAGCCGGACCAGGGGACCTTCGGCGTCCACCGCGCGACATTTCAAGAACACATCGCAGTAACCCTGCCGATAAAAAAAAAGTTATTATAGGAGACCGATAACTGCTATATTGTATTAACTTATTTTTATACGCTTTAATGATATGCTTTTATGATTTTACACATTAGTTTTTGGTTCCCCGCTAATCTAAACTTAGGTCAAAGCCGAAAATCGGCAGTTTGCTTTTCAAGTAACCATATCGCTGAGCTTTTGCCCTTTTTGCATCGTTCCGGCATACATGTGGCCCTGTGTGTGTTTTAATCTATTGTTTAATTTTATTTTGTTTTTATATTTTATTTTATTATTGCAATTTATATTATCATTCATTCTTTATATATATATTTAAAAAAAACTAAATACACCATGTATTCGTAAACTGAAAATTTAGCATTATAGTTCCCTCGTCAAATAGTAGAATTTTGTTTATTGACCAATGTGCCTACTGCTAAATGTTGTAGGCACAATGATGAAATCAGCTAGATTTCAATGGCTACATGAGTGTGAACACAATAGCAATATGCGCGCGAGTGAGAGATATGTAATGCTGGGTCTATGTACGAAATTCTCTCTGTTCGGCGACCGAAAAATAGCATCAACAGTGAAATGGGAGTGCAGAAATAATAATAGTATTGTATATGTATTAGTAATTAATTGTTAAAATTACTAATTAAAATATAAATTACACTCTAATCATTGCAAAAATAACTAAAAGGAAATATGAAGCGGTAGGAGGAAGCGCTGTGGTCCGCGATCGTTGTTGTTACACAACTTTCGCAAGAGACGGTCACGAGATGGGTGACCAAGAAATTATTATCTTGAGCTGCTCCGTGCTTCGGAATGTACGGAAGACACGTAAAGCCATGAACCACCATCCTCCTTAACCGTTTATAAGGAAGGCCAGAGGCCCTGCACTTGAGGGGGTATAAGTGCTGATGAGGATGGGCATGTAGCAGGAAATACTTTAATTTGCTATCAGCGTTACCTGGAAATTATCGCAGGGCGAGCCGGGCCTCAGACTGATCCCGCCGGGGGGCAGGCCAACTTTATGCGCGAACTCGGCAGTACTCTGACACGAATCGGCCGCCGGTCCGGTTTGACAGGCGAGCTGACAGAGGGCGCGGCGATCAACCACCGCGGTCACACCGTCGCCAACGCGGGTCGGCGCCGACGATAGGAAACACTCCTTCATATTCCACGCCAAACATATTGAGCCGCTGCATTCGCCGCTGATGCACAACTGAGTTCCTACGGAACAGAAGAGAGCGTAAATACATCAGCTAAACTAATTTGGTATTTGACAGTACTAACAAAATAATATGAACAATGTTGGAAATGGTTATTGCAAAGAATAACTATGTAGGCAAAAATAACTTGTGACTTATGAGGAAACGTGGGCCATGAAGGAGAAGCATCGTGTCGTCACATTTCAATAAACTAGGCGTTAACGTCTTGTTGCGAATGTTTATTGAAATGTGACGTCGCGGCTTGTTATGTCAAGGATTGATTGTTTTCGAGGGACAATTTATATTAATTAAGACATAATAGCTTTTCCTTTATTTGATAAAACTTTTTAGAGAAAATTAAATTTGACAGTGGTTTGATATTCCTATAAAAAAAATATTAATTCTCATTAATGTATGTATGTATACATTTATTTACACTTGCATAAAAAACAAATCATAATTTTTATCGCTACATACTATATCATATATTAAGTATTTTTAACACCGATATTAGAAAATGTCAAGAAAGCTTACCATTGTTGCATTTTGTGTGATTAGGCATAGCCCTGGGTTCAGGGCATTCAGCAGAAAATCCGGAACAGAATGAAGCGTGGCTGCACTCCGACGCTTCCCGGCAAGTTTGGTTCACGCGCGAGTGCACAAACTGACACGAAGAGTGGCAGCACGGACCTTGTGATGGACTGTACACAGAAAAAAAAATACTGACAAAGAAAAAACCAAATTCATGACTTGAATAGATATTTATTATAATACTCTCCATATCCAGTTATCGACGTAAGTCATCGGAATTGATTTAATACATTACATTCTTCATTAACTTTAAATTATCAGTTAACATATAAAGAAGACTTGTTCAAACTATATTATTTCCAATTTCAGTTTGCTAGACAGTTAATTATGTTTATACAAAATTTCTTCAAAATAACAGATTAAAACAACTTTAATTCAAAGAAAAAAAAAAAATCCAAAACAACTAGTTGAATTATTTTAATTACCTGCATTGTGTGTTAGCTTTCCTTGTGCAACCTTTGGCTGTGATATTCTTTTCCTTGTCGTTTGAAGAGATCTGTCGTGGGTAGCAACAGTGATCGTTGCATTCATTGTCGTCATAACCTGCATTGGGTATGAAATAAATAATAAGATTTAATTTTTATTAGGCTAATAAAACAGATGGTTCATCATTATCATCATCATGAGCCCTTTTACGTCCCCACTGCAGGGGCTCAGGCCTTCCTTATGGATAGTTAAGGAGGATGGGCCATGATCCTCCACGCTAGCCCAATACGGATTGGAGGGTATTAACGACTGCAAATGCAGTCGGGACCAACGGCTAAACGTGCCTTCCAGCGCACGGAGTAGCTCGAGATAATAATTTTTTGGTCACCCATTCCGTGACCGACTCTTGCGAAAGTTGTTTAACGACAACAATCGCGGGCCGCGGCGCTTATCCACTACGCCATCGAGCTACTCAGATCAAAACAGATGATTGATGCTTAGTAAAAAAATAAAAGTGACCTATGATTAACTGACAAAATATAATTTCAAGAACACATTTTATTTAATTATAAAAACAAAATCTTCTAATATTATATAGCATTGTAAATGTGAAAGTTTCTTTGTTTGGACGTTTGTCCGTCAATCACGCCGTAACTACTGAACGGATTTTGATGAAATTTGGTATACAGCTTGGGTATTAGCCGACTTAGTTAAAAGGATACTTTTTATTCTACTAAATAGTTCCCTAGGAACCACACAGGCGAAGCCGCTGGCGGAAAGCTAGTACATAATAAAGTTAAAAAAAGTCCTTGAAAGCTTTTATATGTTTTAGCAGTCGTTTTATTTGACGTAATAAAGATATAGTACTTCTATAAAAACACAAGTTGAAAAAGGTTATTGTAGTCGTACAGACTATAAACATGATTTATAGTTATATATAAGTTGTAATCAGGGATACCCGCTGTTGCATTGCTCCCGAAAATATAATGGGAATATATGTGTTTTAAAAAAAGAGGCAATCGGGTTGAAATAATTTGTAGAACTCAATTAATATGGGTAGTTTAAATACTTCTATTGAATTGTAGTTTCAATGGTAGTTCATTAAACTAAAATGAGTATTAATTCCTCGTAACTCACGGCCGCAGAAGTTGAAATGGTTCGTTCGGACCGGACTTCGAATTGTTTTTATTACGCAAATTGTAAAATTACACGAGTCCATTTCGAATGTATGGGTGATTCGATCATAGTTTTCGACGAAACGAATTTGTCTCACGACACGAATTCCCATCCTGAGGATCCACTAAGAAACTAGAATCTTGGCAATATGACAATGATCGCTGCTCAAATTAGGGGTAGTCTAAACCTTAGTCATAAGCTGAAAATTGATTATATGATTAGCGTGACTTTGTTTTCACGAATATAAACTCTGGCACGAAACTATTTCGGTTCGTTTCGATGCGTGATCGCGTAAAAAACATGACGTTCTCAAATCAATACTGAAATACTGACCGCAATCGCATTCTTCTCCGACCTCGACGATCTTGTTGCCGCAGAACGCGCCAGCGCTCGCAGTGAGACAGTTCCGCTTGCGACCGTCACGTACAGCGTCGAGCACGGCGCTGATGTTGCCCACGGAGCACGACGAGAACCGACTGTTGTTCGGCCGGTCACCAGAAGTGGCAGACGCGAACATTATGTAGTTACCTGCCGCGCCGCCCGGGCGACACTCGGATGGGTAGTCGTGCTATAGAGTATTGAAACGTTAGCATATATAAATACTGTTTATATCTAATAATATTACAAAGAGGAAAGATTTGATTGTCTTGTTTGTTTGGATCGAATAGGCTCCGAAACTATTAAAAACCTACCGGCAGCTACATGCTATAATTTGTACGTAAACGAAGTCGAGGGAAAATAATAATAATAATAATTGTCTGCCGGGGGGAATCCTCCCACCCCTCGAATCGTCGAGGGGTCGGGAAGAGTAAATTATAAATATAAACATAATAATAATAATAATATACTTTATTGCACACACGAGTTACAAATTACACAGGAAAACAGCTAGTTTCTTTGATAAAAATGGTTTAATTACGCTATAAAATTATATAACACTTTGCCTATCGCTAATTTTTCAGAAAATCATCTTGAAAACACATTATGTGATCGATGTATGTATATTAATGAATATCTAAATTGTTTTTTTTAAATAAAGACGGCCAGAAGACGTATAATCCAGTGACCATGTATGAAAAGAATAATGCTGTGCTTTGTGGCGGTTTATCACGTAAGATAACGGCGTAAAAATAAAGTAAGTGTAGTTGAGTACACCTAAAATATTTAATTTGTCCCGAATCACGTTGTCTCTATTTGCATTATCTATTGTCAATAATTTTAAAGTTAACGCGTTCTTTCTGCGATGTGCAACTTTTGCAAGGGTCATGCAATAGGTGGCATGAAATATAATTGCGTTTGTTGTACTTCAGAGGCAAGTTAAGCGAAGTCCCTGTCGCGTCTGGGCTCGCGGCTATTCTCCGAACCCAAGTTAGTTACTAAAGAACTAGTGTTGTGAAATTATTAAACAATGACAAGTCAAACAATAACACCTATTGTAGTGACAGGGCTAACGTCATTCATTCTATTTGTAAGTATAGGTAAATGTCTACACAATATTAATTAAGGATAAACTAGAAATATAATTTGTGATTATAATTTTATGGAAGTTAATATGTTTTTCATTCTTTAATTTTTAAGAGGGCGAAAATGCCGTTAATACAAACACCCAACAATATTAATAATTTCGACAAAATTCAACTTATCTCAAAAATACGCCAGAATAATAAAATCTTTTTATGGCTTCATAATTACACCCATGGAATGATATGAAAGTGATACGGAAAATTTAATTTATAAAATTAATCAGTGGCCTTTGCAATGGATAAGAATCAAATATATATACAATTTGTATTTTAATTCAAACACAGGGAAAACCCCAGGTTAATTTAATAATTATTTTGTTTATAGTAAGGCCACATATTTTTCTATAATACTAATTGATTTCGATAATTGCGTTCTAAAGCGTTCAAAGTAGCGATTTAGACAGGATGCGATGCACCCTTCTAGGAAATCTTACCACAATGCGACACTGCGTTCGTGGTCGTGTGTATAAATATCATACATTTTATAGGGAGTTGCGATTATTACGAATTCACGCCCTAGGAAAATGTACGAACGTAAATGATTCTAATGGACTATATAGTTGAATTTAGAAACGTCATTGTTAGTGTACTATTCTTATACTGAAACAAATTAAAAAAAAAAATTAAGTTATAATATCAATAACCTCTTTGTTTTAAAATAAAATAAAAAACAATAAAGATAACAAAGACGTGCTGCGTGGGTGACAAAATAAACGATTATTTCGATTGAATATCATCAACAATTAAATCGCTACCAATACATAATACCGCAATGAAAATATGAAACCACGAACTTCCGCGAATTGTGTGGCCGCTCTCACAACAACATGGTGATAACAGGTTTCGAGGAACGACACCCATGCCATGACACACTCTTCTAAATTGATCTTTACTGATGAAGGAAATTAAATGAGAAACAATTTTAATATAATCTTTAGTCTCGCCTACTTTAATTTACAAACTTTTAACATTTTTTTTAACCTAAAAACACTAGTTCATTAATACATACCGGTGATCCAAAGTTATGTCCGATTTCATGCGCAAGAGTCAGCTGGCTGACTTTCGGCGGTACTCTGCTGTTATAGTTGACGAACGTTATGATTCCAGTATTAAGTGATCGTTTCGTGCTTTGGTACATGCCTCCTATAGTCTCTGTGTAAGTCTTGTACTTCTCGCATATGCCACCCGATGCACCACTTGCGCTTGCCACCCATGCTAGACCTGAAGACAAAAGTTTTAGTTAGGTAAAAACCTTCAGGCATTAAAGTCAAATTTTTAGTTTAGTTTGTTCAAATAAACTTATTTAGGACATCATTTATCATTTCTCAGAAATCTACAAATTATAGTCTTTTATCACTCAATAGAAAAGAGCTTCTTTAATAAAGTAGTTCATAGATTCTTGGAAACCAATTTCTTAGATTCTAACTAATATCATTTTTTTCAAACTACCTAATATTTTTCATCATCATTCTAGATAATAGAGTTCGGTCTTTGGCACAAATTGATAATATTTTAAACGTAATTTTTCGGGAGTATTTTAACATAATAAACACTAAACATTTTGGGTTCGTTGTCTTTTACTAAAATGTTAATTTTATTGTGAATATGATAAATCTTTATTACATAGGTTATTGTTTACATTGACAAGGCGAGCTTTCGTTCCCGTTTCGACGTGTGGGTGAACCGCAGTACTGCGAAATTTGCTAAGGTATCTAGGGTAAGTAACTTGAATTGATATTTCATAAGCTTCGGCTTTAGTGCTGGTTTTGATATTATTACGCAAGTAATACAAATGAAGAATATGTTTACCTTAGATTCTATTTACAGTCATTACAACGAATCAGATAGAATAAAATATGTTGATTTGAAGATGTAAAGAAAACCTAAAATCAATTTGAAGCGGCTTAAATAATGCTTCACTATTACGTTTCAATTTCGTTTATGTTTAAAAAAAAATAACAAAATGCAACACTAGGGTCTTAAGTTTTGATTACAAGCTTCAATTTCGTGTAATATATTTTATAATTTCGGAAAAATACCCACGGTCAACAATTGTAACTGATGTCGAGGAGAAAAAAGATTACATAAACAACAAAAATCCTGCGAGTATGAAACGTATTAAAAATTTTGATTCATACTTATACATAAATAGCTCCGAATCATAAATGAAACAAGCTTGCTTATAATTACTACGGTGTTTTAATGGTTTGGAAGGGTATATGACACCTGCTTGAGGCAATTATATTATATCTACACTGTTAATACCTATAAAAATGAAATATACTTAACAATACGTACTTAATATGTATTTAACAATTAAATAAAAATAACATGGATATTACAAAGTTTTGTAATTTTCTTTCTTTCATGAGACAACATTAATAGTTTTTAAATGGTTTAATAGCCAGTCAATTGTTACGAATTAAACTAAAAGCGTTACAAAATAATTACCGATCATCATGAAGTGACACTAAAATAAGTAATGAAAAACTAGATGCAGTTTCATCAGCTATTGGACTATTGAGAAATGCTTATTAAATAACTAGCTCTCCGCTAGCGGTTTACATATTACACATATAAGTA